CATGAACATAAAACCCCAAACCATACCACTTGTAGAAGAAAACACAGAGGCAATGATTTTTTGGTCTTGGCAACGATTTTTTGGATTTGACACCAAGAGCAAAGGCAAAAATAAACAATGGGACTGCATCAAACTAAAAAGTTTCTTTCTGGAAAAGGAAAACATCAATAAAATGAAAAGACAACCTATGGGATGGAAGAAAATATTTATAAATCACATATCTGATAAGGGGTTAGCATCCAAAATATATAAACAACTCATACAACTCAACAACAATGACAACAAAATATACAATCCAATTTAAAAATGGAGAAATTGAATAGACATTTTTCCAAATAAGATATCTAAGTATCAAGTAGGCAAGGAAAGGGTGCCTGACATCACTAATCATCAGGGAAATGCAAATCAAAACCACAGTAAGATATCACCTCACACCTGTTAAAATATCTATTCTCAAAAAGATAACAAATATAGGAACAGATATGAAGAAAACGGAGGACTTGTGAATTGTCGGTGGAAGTGTAAATTGGTGCAGCCATTCTGGAAAACAGTATGGAAGCTCCTCGGAAAATTAAAAATAGAACTATCAGGGTGCCTGGGTGGTCAGTGGGTCAAGCTTCTCGCTCTTGGTTTTGGCTCAGGTCATGATCTCACAGGTGGCGGGATCAAGCCTAGCCTCTGGCTCCACGCTCAGCAGGGAGTCTCTTTGAAGATTTTCTCTCTCTCTCAAATAAATAAATATTTTTTAAAAATAAAAATAGAACTACCATATGATCCAGCATTTCCACTTCTAGGCATATATCTAAAGGAAATAAAATCACTATCTTGAAAAGGTATCTAGCCTCCCCAGGTCTATTGCTGCACTATTTACAATAGCTAAGACATAGAAACAACCCAAGTGTCTACTGGTGGATGAATGGATAAAGAAAATATTCTAATATTCGAGGAAATATTGTTCATTCATAAAGAAGGAAATCCTGCCATTTGTGACAACATGGATGGACCTCGAGCAAAGAAAGACAAATACTGTATGATTTCATTTATATGTGTAATCTTAAAAAACAAACCACAATGAACCCCGTAGATACAGAGAACAGACTGGCAGTTGCCAGAAAGGGGAGTGGGGGTGACATACATGAGGAAGGTCAAAAGGTACAAACTTCTAAGATAAATAAATTCTGGAGATAAAATATACAGCATGTTGACTAAAGCTAACAATATTGTATCATATGTTTGAAAGTTGCTAAGAGATAAATAAAAGTGCTCATCACAAGAAAAAAATTAACTCTATGAGGTGATGAATATTAATTAAACTTATTGTGGTGATCATTTCATGATACATGCAAGTATCAAATCATCTGTGTACACCTAAAACAAACACAATGTCATTTGTCAATTATATCCCAAGAAAACTGGAAAGAAGTCAAAGAACATAGACAAGTTATCAAGATTATATTATTAAAATATTTTATTCCATTACTCATAACAGAATATAATAGTTCTTTTATCATATTCTGTACTACTTCTCTCAACCCGCCTCCTCCTTCTTATATTACCATTATTTCTTCCCCCCTCCCCCCACCGCTTTCAATAAAAACATTAATAGTCCTCTAAGGCTTTTTTTTTTTAATTTATTATAGTCACACAAACACACAGAGAGAGAGAGAGAGAGAGGCAGAGACATAGGCAGAGGGAGAAGCAGGCTCCAGGCACCGGGAGCCCGACGTGGGATTCGATCCCGGGTCTCCAGGATCATGCCCTGGGCCAAAGGCAGGCGCTAAACCACTGCGCCACCCAGGGATCCCAGCCCTCTAAGGCTTTTATCCTGATCTGGGAAATTAAAGTCACATTGCACTTTTGTAACAGAGCCTAGTAACTTCAAATTTCAAAATGCACCAAAATCATACAATCTCAGGCACTGTGAGTCCAGTTGCATTCAAATTAAGGAAACCGGGATTATAACAACTCAGGGCTTTACTCAGAAAACTGGGTTTCTTGGGATAGCTTGAAAGCTAACCTAGGAGGAAACCCTGTCAGGTGAAAATGAAAAAGCAGCAAATGTCCAACTGTTTATCATCATTTCTACCCTCGTCCGCAGCCTCAGAGCACCAGCTCACACAGGAACAAAATATTGGGAAAAAAGAACAGAATCCATTCTCAGGCCCTCGGGGAACATGGGAACAGAATTTAGACATACACTGTTTTGTGAACACAGGGAGGAGAATGGCTCAGAAGACAACAGAAGTGAAACAAGAGGTCCCGACTGCCTGCGGTCCTTCAGATTTTCATATTTAGATTTTTCTCCACCACTTCAATTTGCTTGTGTCCATGTGCTTCATGAGTATTTACACTTCACATGTGCTTTGCTTATCCAACTAGCTTGCCAACCTGAAGATCTCACAGGGATGTACGAGGGAAATGGCAGGAGTCAGAGAAGCAGGGAGTGAAGATCAAAGGATTAAAGGAGAAAAAGGATGTGTCATGGGGGGGGGGGGACTTGACAGGGCTTCTGAATGGCACCTGCCTCATGTGAGTTAAGTGTCTACTGCTTCACTCTCTACCAGGCTTACACTGTTGGTCACTCTGTAATGAAGGATGCTTTGTCCCTTTCTGTTTTGCAGTTTTGTATGTTGCTCCCTTTGGACTCAGTACAAATTATCAGAACTATTTCTCTAACACTGAGGCCATTTTTTTTTCATCTGGTCCAGCTGACCAACAGCAAAGTTACAATCAGAAGACTGGGAAATTTCCAACTGCAGAGCGTGTGGGCATGGCTTCTGCCCCTCCAGAGATTTGCAGTTTTTAGTAGCTACAAACTTGGCTTCCTTGAGTTGCCCTTTATTTTAAGAAATATGCTTTCCTTAAAGGCAACATCACTCTCCTTCCCGGATAACATACTACCTCTTCTCCAGCTCCATCCTCATGTCGAGCTAGATCATATCCCTTATTTCCTCTAAGGTACTACAATCCATGTTGCCAATTCTCGATGGGGTTGGCTTTAGATCCTCAGAGATGTAATTGCACAGTTTACAGATGTAGGCAAAAGGTACAAAATCTTTATCGAAAGCCAAGGTCAATGTGTACTTGTGCTAATGTACGTTCAATGTTCCACTGGGTTCCAAATTATGCAAATATAAAAAGAGAGGGAGGAGGATCCATCTTAAATAAGAACTGATAAATAGAGTTCACTCATTATCATTATTACTCTTCTTAATGAAAACTACCCTTTTCTAAACTCTTACTCTCTGGCAGGAGCTATGGTAAGTGCTTTACACAAATTATCCCATTTAATCATCAAAATAATGGTACCTGCATAGGAGGTACAATAATTATCCATATTTGTTATGGAAGAAAACAAAACCTTAGAGGCTTAAAATGACTTGAATATAAATATATAATAAACAACAGAGCCAACACTCAAGTCCAGGCTATCATACTCCAAAGTATGTGTAGCTAAGCACTGTTCTACACAGGTCTCCTTATTTCTCTTCATTCAACCTCACCCCACGTCATCCCCAATTTGAACGTAAGTATTTCTTTTTTCCTGGAAAACATCAATGGGAATAGGGCACTGTAAACTATTGGTAGAGAAGCTTCTGGTCTACAGGTAGATTGTTCCAACACCATGGTCTTGTCTCTTGGTAAGAAATGGAGAGGAGGTAGTAAATCCATCCCTGTTGCCTGTCCTGGGCAGTTCTGTGTCTCTTTTAGTACAGTCTTCATGAGTTAATTTTTGTTGTTTTTCTCTGATAGTAACAGGCTACTTTGCTCCTGAGTTAAAAACATTTCATTTCCAGTGCATTTTCCATTTGTTGGCTTTCATTTTCATTCTTTTCCATTAGTATAAATCGAAATCATTTACTGTAGGACCAACTAATTTAGGGTAGGCATTATTATCATCATTTTCCAGATGGGCTCAGAGAATGTACACGAAAGGCCCCAGGTGAAATTTATTTTTGGCCAGAAAGGAGCTAGAACTTAAGCCTAGGATTCCTGCCTCCAAATGCAGTTCCTCCAAAAGCAAGAATGTATGAATGCTACATGCCCAGCAGCCTCCTTGGTACCTTTACCTGCCCTATACTAAACATGTCATATACCCAAACCGACTTGCAGACATTCCCCCACAAATCTGCTCTGCTCCCTCTGCCTTCAGTGAATGGCAATCCCCCACCTTGATGTCACCTTAAATTTTTCTCCCTCCTTCACTCCTACTACCATTGTTCTATATCCATTCTATTAGCGAGTCACATCTAGTTATGCCTGAAGCATTAAATTTGTTGTTTCTTTCTATGTCTACCCAAACTATCACTCTGTCTCCTCCAGGCTACGGGGACTGTCTTCTAGCTTGCTCCCACCTTTTCTTTCTTGCCCATTTTTGCTCCATTCTCCTACTGAAGCCAGCATGATCTTTTTCTGACACAAGTACAACCAGATTATAAATGTCATGCCATCCTTCTGTTGTGAATACTTCAATGTCTTCCTCTGGCTCTTATATAAAAATCAAAACTTCAAATATGGCTGACAAGATCTGACATGATCTGGTCCTTGCAATATCTCCCACCTCATCCCTTAACCTCTGCGTCACAGCCCCGCTGGCATTTTTCCATTTCCTCAAACACTGCAAAGCCCCTCTCACAAGCTGTTCCCTCTCCCTGGATCACTCACAAACCTCCCACCTCCTAAATGGTGTTAATGTCTACTCCTTCTTCAGACCTCCGCTCAGGTGTTGCTTGCTCAGGGTCAATTTCCCTGGCCTCCATGACAGGCTCTTTCACAAGACCATTGTAGTCTTTATCACTTATCGCTGCTACAATTTTACATGTATTTGTGGAATTATTTGATTAATTCCTGTCTTCCTTCCCAGGCAATATCACTTCTGCCCAACCTCTGCGTACTTAGCACCCTGTCCAGCACATGATTGGCTTCAGAATACATGTCCGTCGAATCAGTGAGAGCTGAATGAAAGCATTTGCCCCTTTCCATCCACCAGTTATGCTTACCATTTGTCTGAATGAGTAGGTTGTAGATTCTAGTCCGAACACCCTCTGGATACAGAGTAAAGGTACACTCATACTTTCCAGTGAGTGAGGAGGACATGTTCCTTAAGTGTAGAGTCCACATTGACACATTTCTGGGAGTTTCTATGTAAGTCACCAGTGACTCACAGGGACCGCCATTAGCACAGTGCAAGCCATATTTGGGATGATAAAGGGCAATCAGGTCCAATTTATCAGTGACCTTGGACCATTGCATCTGCACCAAGAAGCCCTTCTTCTCTGTTTGGCAGGTCAGGTTGACATCAGAGCCAGGGAAAGCATAGGTGTCTTCTGCATTGGGTGCTTTTCCCCATACTCCTGAAAAGGAAGGATGTGAGCCATTAGTTTACGTGATTCATGTGGAATGACTCTTCTTTAAAAACCTTGGTCACTTTGGTGAGGCGAGGGAGCTACTGAAGAATTTTCTCCCTGGTTGCCTTATGTGTAGGAGGGAGCCTGTGTGTGATCCCAATAGAGAAGCAGAGACACAGTATAAATGAGGAAGCATTTGCTGAAGGACACTAGAAGAATATTCATCTCTTTGTCTGTTGCTCTGCCCAAAGGATAATTTAAGTTCTCTGACTACCTGTGAATAAAATTAAGCCAATTCAGAAATTGAAGCCCACCAGCAAACTTATGACAACTACTTTTACAATGAATACAACTGAGTTTTCTTTCTTTTTCTTTTTCTTTTTATTTGGTTTTATGAATCAACAGCTGCCTATAACACAACAATAACATCTTCTGAAACTGAAAAAAACCCTGATATGTGTATAGTTGTTTTTAAAAATATATGTAGGCTATTTTATTGAATCCTGCTCACATACTACAGAATGATGTTGTTAACACTCTACCAAAGAGGAAACTGAGGCACAGGGTGATTAGGTGATTTGTTTAAAGTCACACATAAGTAAAAGTAGAAGAACATGGATTTCGTTGCCTCGAGCCTGTGCCTTTTCTATAACCTTCATAACATGTAAACTGACTCTCCATTCAGTTGAGAAGAGTAAGAAATTTGACATTCAATATGAAGATCAAAAATACCTTCATGTCCATGAAGCTAGAGCTCCTGAGGAGAGGAAGGGAGAAAATACCTCAGGTAGAGTTTCCACTAAAGATAAACTGCGGTCGGCATCTATTATCAACACTTTGAAATACTAGACATAAATGAAGAAGATTCTCTCCCATCAGCTCTCTGACCACATGGTACAAGGCACTTAAAATATGTTAAGCATTGGGCCTTTGACATGCCTTCAATAGTGGAGGCCTCAATCTTAGCATTAATGGAACACCGTTCCAGGAAGGATATATTAATATGACAAGTGCCACAAAGGAAAAAGATAAGAAGATGACAAGCAATGGAGAAGAAACAAGGCTCTCAAAGGTACTTGACAAATGGGAATTATTACACTTTTATGGATTCAAAAGTTTGGGTAGGCAGAGGTTAGTACAGTTAAATGTCACTCCCTATAAGCTCTCCTTTGACTGATAATATGCCTCTGATTCTATCCACAGCATTGTATTCCAAAGTCTCCTTTGACTTAGAAATTCTCCTGAAAATCTTTGTAGCTATATCTGTAAAGCATAGTTAATTCTTGAGACACTCAGGCTCACTCTAATTCCCCCATGCTACAGAATGCAGAACAAATCTTTCCTCCTGCTATTTTTAAATAGGCCCTGAAGGCACTGGCTCCCACTGTTGTAAGGACCCTACTTTGTCTTCCAGGTCCATACCTACACACGCCTCATTAAAATTCAACATATGTTCAACTCCCAAAGACATTAGTATTTGGAGGAGGAATGCTTGTTACATACAAAAGAAAAAGGATCCTCGAGAGAGAGAAAAGTTGAGCAAGGATCCCGTAGCACCAACGGCTTTGTGATTTTTTTAGTATTTCGGAGTTGTTCTGACTACCATTTGGAGAGCATTTCGTTTCCAAGAAGCACAATTTCCCAGTTACTCCAGAGATCCCCTTAGGAAAGAAATGGGTGAAAATGTCTCAGAGCGGTGGCACAAACCACTCATTCCCTTCTCATTTTTAGTGTTCGTTAGTAATCATTTCTAGACTCTAACATCTTTCCAATAGCTGCCACTTAAATTCGTAACTGAAAACCTTAGCAACGATCTGCCTTCGTGATCAATGGCAGCAGTAGTCACACACATTTTAAATGAACAGAGGCCCCATTCGCCCCTACAGCAGCTGATCTGACAAGAAAGGACAACTGGAAGCCTTACCCTTGACGAAATGTATTTGGATAATGGAGCAGACAGCACAGTAGGTCCATTTTTTCTCCATCGTCTCCTGGAGGCCTCACACCAGCATCTCCATAATCACAGAAGTCAACTGATAGCTTGAAGCAAACTCCAGCTACTCTATTTGTGCAGAAAAACCCCAAACCTTCTGCACGCCTGGGTCTGCTTACCACTCAGCAAGACCCCAGGAAATGAAACGTAGACAGGAAAGTAATGTGGTTCAGAGCTAAGTATAACCTTCGACAGAACAATGTTGAAATTGTTCTCTGAAATTGCGTGTGTCACCTTTGTTAAAAGACTTCTCGGGATCCAAAGATTCTCTGCTTCAGGATCTCTGTGTCAGTCTTGCTGCTTCGAAAATCCAAACAAAGGAAATCATGCAGAGCGACTCATAATGTGCTTTTTATACATTTCAAGAACACAAAGTCATTTAACAAATGTGAACTCCGTGTCTTTGATAACAGTTTTTCTGTTCACTTTTAAAATATGTTTTCTTTCCAGAATTGCTCCCGGGTGAAAGAACAAAGGATTAACACGTGTAATTTTAATAAGATCTGAAAAGTAACAGGGTGTAACATCAGCTATCAAACCGAATTTTATTGTCACCCATATGGCAGGAAAACCCACATTTCCTGGCATTGGGGAGGTGAAGAGGGGCGGTTCCTCTTCTCCTCATCTGGCCTAGGGAGGAGGTCGGGCAGGGAAATCTTCCACCCTGCTGGCTGGAGGGGTTTTTCTCATTGTTGTTGTTGCCTCAGCCAAAAACTAGATAGAGTAAGGCTGAAACAATCTGGATCCAAAGGTAGAGAGCCTCCTACCTCAGCCAGCTACCGGGCCTGTGATATCTGCCCCATTAATTCCATTTACAGAGGACTGAGATTCTCAGGGGCTTAGAGAAGTGACTCCTGGTATAGGATGACTTCCCTGGCAGATACGATGCCAATACTGGTCCAGCTTGAGATAAAATGGGCTGTCTTCACCTTCCAAACTTAAGAGAACAAGCGTTAGGTTGAGGATTACAGCATGGGGTTGATGAGCAAAGAATAAAGACGCGTAAATATGTATTTACATGCAAGCATATCAACAATTGGTGAAATGTGACCCTAGTTTCACTACTACAATAAAGGCAGCAGCCAGCAAGCCTAAAAGACAAACAAGAAGGTTGAGCTGTGTTCCTGAGGTGGATGCTCTTTTGAGGTCACAGGGAGACCATTCAGTCCATGTCATCTTGTATATTGTCATCGTATATCACGACATCATAATATACTGATCTGTCCCTATACGAGGACATAGAAGGAATATCGACGATGCCAAGACATAAGGCATCATCTCTGCCATTTAGAGGACCAGAATTTAGCTGGGGGAACAGAGATTTGCACGTAGTGAAACAGGAGTTGCTGCCCTGGATGTCCAGACTACCCTCTACCCTCTACACCAGGCTACCTCACCCCTGTACTGCCACTGCAAACACTTGCCATGACAACCATCACACATGTTCCTCACCACAAAGCTAATGTTTCTGGCAAAGATCAAAAGATGGAGTTACTTATTTCCTAGCCCAGAGCTCCTGAGACTCTGCTTTGTTCCTACTCCCATCTCCACCTGCATACTTACTCTCAGATCACTGGAGGTGTTGGGTCAGGTGGTATTGACAGGGATGTTTTCAGAGAGGCTGCAGCGTGTGAAGACTTTGACTGCCAGTCAGGAGACACTGCCGTTCTAAGTGCCTTTGTCTCTTCGTCTTTACCCCTGGAAATTCTAGCAAATAACAGTGATGGAGTATAGTGGCAAACACAGCCTAGGAGATCCCGATCTGCAGGTTGGTGTTTCCATCCTGTTGGGACACATGACAAGCATGGGGAAGGATTTCGGGCACTCATTCCACCTGTCCTGGTAAAGAGGAATTTGTCTATGTGAAATGCATAAAAACCTAAACAGTACCTCCCCTTGAAGCAGTTAGTGGTCTCCTGTGTCCTGCTGCTTTAAACTAAAACAGCTTTTCAGGAAAAAAAAAAAATCCCTCAAATTCAGAAAAGGAGAACACATCACATATTTTCCAGAGCTATAGACACTTGGAATCCTTGCCTTTCATGGGGGTTGGGCTGCCCCGGGCACCCATTCAGAGGCTGCTGGGCAAATCTCTCTCTGGGTGTTACTTAGAGCTTAGTTCATGGGTTTCATAGCTAGAAACCTCTGGGGCCCTGAGTCATAAGATTTGACTAGTTTTCCTTTGGGATTCACCCAGGCTCTCAGAGAAGAAAAATTTCAGATGCCCACAGAATATTAATCGAGCACACCTGGTGTCCTAGAGCTGCAAGACCCGCGCAATAGCCTCTCCATGCCTGTCTGCATGCAGCAGGTGGCAGCAACGCCCTGCGGACCAGCACTGTGCTCCCAGGTGATGGAAATTGCCCCCGTGGCTTTTCAATTCCAGTAACATTTTCTAAAGGCCCTTTCAGCATGGGGATAGGCATTCTCTGTACTTAAAAATAACTCCTCTATGGAAGTCTTGAAAATCTCTATTATCCTCCCTGCTCACCAAATCCCAATTGCACAGCATTTCTTCTGCCTCCGATTAGAGTCTGCTGCATATAAAGAGAAAACAGAAGCAGTCAGTTTCACACACAAAAAGAAATCTTGAACTTCTTGAACTTCAGAGGCAAATTCAATTATTTACAAAGAGAAGCTGGGGCACGCATTATTTCTGCTGGAGGCAAGTCATAATTGTGTTTTGAGCAAACTTTTTAAATGTTCCATCTAAACACCCTCAATGAGAAAAGGACATTTTCAGAAATAGGAAGTTGAGCAAAAGGTAAACTTACTTTTGTGGTTTGCAGAGAGGTTAACTCAAATATTACTGATTTGTCTTGGATTTTATTCTTTAATTATTGTGTATAAAGATTCTAATGTGGATGTTGTACCTTTGTACATGTTTCTCTACCCAAATGCTTAGAAAACATGTCGCTTAATGTTTCAATTAATCAAGAGATATTTATTGAGTGCCAACTCTTAAGAGATTACTGAAGAGACATATTTTAAGGAGATTTTATTTATTTATTTTGGGGGGAGAGTGAGAATTAGAGAGATTGAGAGGAGAGAGCAAACACATACAAGCAGGGAGAAGGGCAGAGGGAGAGAGAGAGAGAGAATCTCAAGCAGGCTCCAGCCCAGTGCACAGTCCTGCTTGGGTCTGGATCTCAAGATCCTCAGATCATGGGGATCCCTGGGTGGCTCAGTGGTTTGGCGCCTGCCTTCAGCCCAGGGCGTGATCCTGGAGTTCAGGGATCGAGTCCCACATCGGGCTTCCTGCATGGAGCCTGCTTTTCCCTCTGCCTGTGTCTCTGCCTCTCTCTCTCTCTCTCTGTCTATCATGAATTTAAAAAACAAACAAAAAAAAAAAAACAAAAAACAAAAACAAAAAAACGATCCTCAGATCATGACCTGAGCAGAAATCAAGAGTCGGATGCTTAACCGACTGAACCACTCAGGTACACCAGTTTTAGGTGATTTAAAATACAAATGATAAAACACAGCTCTTGCTCTTAAGGCACTTATTATTTTGCTGAAGAGAAAACTGAATGAATAGATGGCCCAGGATTTTAGGAAAGGAGGAGGTGTAGGAATCAAGTCAGTGTGGAACCTCAACTTGGCTTCATATTAAAGGTGAGTCTGGTGGAAACCATAAGGTAAGTCATTCCAAGCAGAGTAAACAGTAAGAACCTAAGTTGGAACTGCTGCAGTTGTTATCATGGAACAGAGGCTTTATTGAGGGGTTTGGGAGTCAGACAAAGCTGTCCAAGGGGTGAGATCAAATCATGGAGGGCTTTCAATCCTGAGCTGCGCATTTTTTCCTTCCTGTCGGAGAGAGTTATAGGTTTTTCAACAAAAGAGTAACATATATAAAATAACATTTTAGAGAGATGAATTGGGTGGACTTGTAAATAAAATAAGGGGAAGGGAGGAGGAACATCTTTTAGGGGACTTATATTTCTTTAAGCAGCAGAGGACAAGAGTCTACCGATTGGTCAGGGCAGAGCGCGACGGGCAGGAACACTACAGAGAAAGAGGAGGTAAGGTTGATGTCCAATTGGACATAGAATCAACATCTGCTCTAAAGTTTCATGCATCAGAATGAGGAGAAAAGAAAAGATATAGTAGGTGTAAGGGCTCTAAAACGATGTAGATGTGTCATGAATTATATGTACTGGGTCCCTGCTGGAAGAGCCACCTTACCCAGGACTTCAGATGGAAAGTAAGGGATAGCCTATTAGGGTATAGATAGAGGCCCTGCCTTCATGAGAAGCAAGCTCCCCCTTTTGGTTTTCACTAAGATTTTATGAGATTTAAGAATTACCATCTAATGTGAGAGAAAGAATTTCATGACACAATCAGCATAGAGCAATCTAGTTTATCACCCTCATTTCCACCATGCTCAATTCCATCCATTAAAGACTGATTTTAATGTAATACATTTTTCCAATGACAACATCAATATCTGTTCATTACCAGAATGCATTTTAAAAGGTTAACAAAGAAAATAAAAATCAGCTGGAATCCTAACCACCCACAGACAGCCAGTTCTTATATTTTGTCTTACATCTCTCTGGACTTTCACATAAATATGTATGTATGAAGAAAATGGATTTTTACTATGTTTACCACATGCGCTCCAACCTGTCCCTTTTGTTTTACTTCATAATATATTGTGGACATATACATGTTACAAAACAAAGATAAACTTCCTTCTTTTGAAATAGTTGCATGGTATTTTATTGTACAGATGCACAAAAGATAATTTTTAAGATAAATACAAAATTTCTACCTAATGCTTTACTCTAAGAAATAGAATTTTAATTTTTTTTAAATTTATGATAGTCACAGAGAGAGAGAGAGAGAGAGAGGCAGAGGCTCCATGCACCCGGAGCCTGACGTGGGATTCGATCCCGGGTCTCCAGGATCGCGCCCTGGGCCAAAGGCAGGCGCCAAACCGCTGCGCCACCCAGGGGTCCCCCAGAAATACATTTTAAAAACTATTAACATTTCTAGGATCAACACAGAATAAAAGAAAACTTTTAGAGTCTATATCCCACCCAGTTTCAAATCATTGAAACTTAT